CTATTCCGAATTTTGTCTGTGGTTTGAACAAATCTTTCAAGATAATGGATCATTGCTTGCGATCGAATGAACAAGCGTGGGAGTCGTAAGCCGTTGCGATCGTCACCAAATCCGATTAATCAAATTATCGAATCGGACCATGTAACGGTATTATTGACAAAGCTTTTAGACTATAATTCAATTTTTTATGTTTGTCTAAAGTCGATGCTGTCGCTTTGCGATAACAATAGGCTTAAACAAGATTAATGAAGCATTAAATTAATTTGATATTTCTAAGTACGACTTTATACACCGTGAATTTTGATTTACCTAAGAACCTTTAAAATCGTTTAAATAAAAATAGTGAGGACAGTTATAAACAGTAAAACTACTATATAGCTATACCCCCATAACAAAATATTAATTTATATCGTTCACAAAATATCTTTTAACGGCGCAAATTTCTAAATAACATGCCTACCTATTATGGAATTATTATCTGTTCGTAAAGTACGTAGATCCTACAAATAGGTTGTTTTATTTTAATCAATTTGTGACTATTAAAATTGGTAAGGTTATATGATTGCACAATTATTGAGTTAACGTGGAGGTACCAATCTTCGAAAATAAAATTGATATTTTTTTTTTGCGGAAATGTAATATGTAATTATAAAAATATTATTCCCAGAATATTTTATAATATGTTTAAACAAATAAAAGGCACAAAATGTCTTAATCGTTGTCCAAATTAGCTACTAAAGTTTCTCGGGTAACTCAAAAATTTAGAGTGAATAGGTAATTATTTGAGGAATAGTTCATTTTTATACTGTTCCGCTTTTTCTTTGATAAATTAACGGGAGACTGATTTCGAATAGATATATAATATATTTTCGACACAAAATTGGTAGCGTCAAGGTTAAAAAAACCGGTAAAGTGCATATCCAATTACACAAGGAAAATTCTATACCATCATTCAAAATTCGCTTAAATTTGCTTTGCGCTTCGCTCCGGATTTGCTGTCAGTGGAGCAAGAGCATTAATGTTTTATACGATTTTTACCAGCTTTTTCAACTCTTTCTCCTTTTTATATGGAAAGCGAACAAAACATTAATCAGCTGAATATATAATGGTGTCCTCTTCATTTTCAACTTATTTTTAATGTTAAGCTTAAAAGCCCATTTTACCAACATAGGTATAAAACTTACAAGAAGTAAGTAACTATAAGTAATTTAAGTTACGATGTCATATTTTAGGATGGCAATATTTTTGATAGTATGTTTTTACAAGTAGGAAATTATAATAATTGAAAGAAAGGATTCCAAGTGTTGAATTTATTAGTTATTGTAATTTATAAACTTGCATATTTTATATAAGGATAAAAGCTAATATAACTTGGTACTGTCGAGGTATGAAATGCTTTTTCGATTATTATTTAATGGTTTTTCACAGTCTTAATGCACATTTGTTGGTAGTATAACGCCTAGCTGGGTCTATACCACCCTTTCTTAGGTAGTATATAGCCAAAATTCGAATTTTGGGAATATATTATTATAAAACCGGAAGAAACAAAATTATAAGTTAGCTTAGATTAAAACAATGCTCTTGAGGAACTCGATGGCGCCAGTGGTTAGCACGTTCGGCTGCGGTCGTTGAAGTTGAGCAATTTTCGCAGTGGTCGGTCATTGGATGGGTGACCAAAAATTTACTATCTCGAGCTCCTCCGTGCTTCTGCAGTCTCGGCTGCATCTGCAGTCGTTAGCACCCACCAAACCGCACTGGGCCTGCGTGGTGGGTCATGGCCCAATCTCCCTAATTCATCCATAGGGAAGGCCTGTGCCCCAGCAGTGGGGTCATTAATAGGCTGATGATGAATGATGTTGAATGCTCTTGAGGCGGCCGTCCAGAGAAGCACCCTCCACCTCACCTTGCCGATCTGCAAAAATGCTTTTTCACGCCTCTCGTAAAGGACCCCAGATTGTAGGAAGGTGGGAACACAAGAATTCCAGACATGTTTTCAAATATGATATTCAATGATATCAAAAACATGTTTTCAAATAACCCAAATAGGTTAGATTAGTATTTTTAACTCAAAATTTTGTATATCAGAGGAATGAAAGGATCTCAGTGTATGATTTTATGTTTTATTTTTAATACCTTTACTGATAATAATACCTTTATTTTATTTATCTTAATTACTATTAAACTGGACTCTGTTAAAAAATAGCTAGCCGGACATTTGCCCAGGTCGCCAAAAATTAGGGGCGGCAAAAATCTTTGCCCGGAGCGGCAAAATTTCTAGATTGGACCCTGTCAGCACCTGAGCCCCTCGTGATAGGTAATGGGCAAATTCTTCTGATATTAACCTTTTGGAACACAAAATAGGCTCTTGATGATGGTTATTCTTGGTTAAAATTTGTTAAAGATGGACAGATTAGCCCTTGATCGTTCATTCCCAACGTTTTCTAGTATCTATGATATAATTTTACGTGTTTCTGCAAAAGGTAATTGTAAAAATAGTAATTATTGGGCCACGTTGTTTGTTAAACAGAGCGACCACGGTCTTATAGCACTTTATAACATTGAAAGTTTAAAACAATATATTTTTTTGTTAATTATTATTACTCCTGTAATAAAACCACTGCCGGATTTAGGGGAGGGCAACCGGGGCGAAAGCCCCGGGGCCTCCACAAACGGGGGGCCCCCACAATAGAGACTTCGGAAAAAAAAATCTTTCAAATTCCAACTAGTGAACTCTACTTGGTTCACAATAAATTATTTATTGAAAAACTCGACTGAAAAAAATTGTTTACTTTATTTGGAAAATAATTTGGGGTGAGGGAGCCTCCGTTCCTTTGTTGCCCCGAGGCCTCTGGACCTCTAAATCCGGCCTTGAATAAAACTCTTTTAGAAATAGTATATTTTTATTTAAGGATATCATAAGATAAATCATAAGTATTGTGACAATATTATAGATTTATTAGACTTATGTTTGTCTTAAAAAGGGTCCAAAATTCTTATGGCGCGATAACACTTGGTCGTTAGCCAGAATACGAGTGTCAATGGAATTCGGGTGAATGAACGGATTCGACTACACCCGTATTAGGTAGATTTCCTTTTCTTTACCCGACACCGTCTTCCAGCCCGTATTCCAGCGTAAATATTTCTTCTGGTACCCGAATTCGAGTAATGGCTGTCGTGCATCCGAATTAGCCAGTAGGCTAACGAGCAAATGTAATTGCGCCATTATGTTGGTCAATTTATTATTATATACATACACTTGTGTGTATCGTCCAATTGTATTCAATAAACAAAAATATTGTTTTTCTTAAGGTAGAGAGCATTGAGCGTCAGCGTTAGCAAACATTACTATAGGTAACGGCAAACATCTTGAACAAAACCACAGACAAATAAAGGACATTGTTCAGCGTCCATACATAGTTAGCCTAAGAACCAACAATCATGAAATATTATTTTCTAGGTTCAAAATCGTAAAAACAAAGATTATTGACGGACACTTCTGAGAACTTAAATTATTAGGAAACTAAAATTTTTTTGAGGTTATGTTTAATATTCAATGAAACATAGGTCAACCTATGAATTTAGTATGAACTCAGTATGAAGTGAATTAATATTATAACTAATTCATTTAATTCGGTGCGATTTTAAAGAATAACTATTAGGAAAAACTTGATTAGGTAGAAATCATGAATAAAATAAAAACTGTAGTTTTGCTTCTTATAATATTGACTATTTTTCACATAATTGTATCATATTGTTTATTATATTTATTTGTATATTACATGTATATTGTGTAAATATGCAGCATGAATGTGTATCAGGTGTTTTTGAATAATTTGGCAGAATGATCCTCTCAGGATGTTGTGGCACAGGTTTACTAGCACTTGGTAATAAGGGCTCTGCTTTTTGGTAACATCGATGGCATATTAGATAGCCGAAATAGTTAAATTAAAGGAAAAACAATCGCAAATAAACACACACAACAGGTAATCCGAAACGATAATGCACTTTCCGGTACATTATAATATAATCTTTGGAATGCACGAATGCCACAGATTACTACGAATGCAAACTGCATGCACCACAACCACAGAGTAACAGTTTTATGCCGGCCCTTCACTTTACAACAGTTTGTCCTTGTCATGCTTAATAAGGAATGAAAAGGACAGACTGATGTCATGTTTTAAAATAGCAAATACGAATAGCCAAGTGAAGTGCCGGCATTAGGAAGAAAGAGTGTTTTGTTTGCAGCGCTGCCATAGATTATACACATAAAATGGTATTTATTGTCTCAGATTATTTTTTAACTTTTTAATTTAGCTTACTTAACTGGATGTGTCCGTCCCAATCTAAATACTGATAATTATCGCAAAAAATATACTAAGAATTATCATAAATGCCAAATTGGTGTTGGTTCTTAGGCCAATTTTAACATTGTCCTTTGCGCGGTAGATTTTCTTGTATGTAAAATAGCTAGTGCGCAGGCTTCCTTGTCTATGGTCGTTCCTGCTCAAAAGGTTTGCCGAGATGTATAGCTTTACCACGAAAAGTAAGTATTGCGATAAAGACGACTATATTATGTAGACAGACACATATACGAACATTCTTTTTAACAGTGTCTAAGCTTTATATTATAAATATTTTGTACAAAAAATCTATTTTGCTTAGGCTATTTTTAAGATCGTCATATCAATTTTGTAATCATAAATTGCTTTTGAAACTTCGGTGCATATAACATAGTGCCTTAATAGAGATAAATTTTCTTTATAGCTAAAATTATATTTTTATTATTAATAAATATGTTATGTATAAAACTTTTATCTGAATATTACTGTTAACAAGTAATTCAAAGAATTTTATATTTTGTAATATTTTTTTTTTATGTATTTACACATTAAGATAATGTATTCCATTTAATGAAAGGACTTGTAAATAAAAAAATAAATATTATAGATTTACAGATGAAAACAGTTACCTTTAAATTGTTAATATACATTTACGGATATTATGCCAAATAAAGGTATGAAAAAAAAAATTTTTTTTTTCTTGTAAAAACAAAATCCTCAGAACAAAGTTTCCCCTGAGAAATTAACAAAAACAATCTTAGAAAAAAAAACATAATTATTTGACATTATCAACTTAAGATCTTAATTATTTCATATTTCTTTACAAATGTACAAGACGATTAATCTTAAAAACTGATGCCGATTAGAATATTGACTACTTTTTTATTTGGTTTCATTAGTAGAGGAAAACGGATAAAAGATTTGGCCAGGCGGGAGAGTTCAACCATTGTGTTCAACCTTTCAAAAAATTGTGTTTATAGCGCAAACAAAACGTCAATTCATTCATTGATCACATACGGTACTGTCATAATATTACCGTGGTATTGTTTTGTTGTGATTGGCGTCTTGAATATGAATGTGATCCCGAAAAAAGTTCAAAAATATACGGTTTTTATTTTTGAAGTGAAACTTTTTTTAAAAATCCTATGGATAATAATATTTATTACATGAGTGAAGCGTGCGCTGTTTGATTCCCCTTTGCCGTATGCATCGCCTAATGTAAGGTTATTTAAGAAAAAAAGTTTAACTTCTGATGTGTGGTCCGTGCACCTGCACACATTTTTTTTTTAATATAAATTACATACTATAACGGCTTGAGTTAAACTAACTATAATTTCAGCTATTACATGACAACGAAATACAAATACATTTCATGTCTATTATTACGTCGCTACACTAGAACAATTGAATAATAATATGGGCCCTATTTCACCACGTCGACATAATATGATAGTGACATGTCGACTTGCTGTAATAGGGCCCTTGTTTTGCCATACTAAACAGTATAAAACGAATCGCTGTTGAATATTTTGAGAAGATTCTTGTGCTCTCCAGCATCTTCTATGAGCTGCTTGTAGAAACTGCCTACGACCATCAGCATGTAAAACCGGATCACTGAAATGGAAAATAAATAATAAATATTTCTAATACTTATGCCAATTAGCATATTCTCAAAGTAAGCACTGGTGTCGATTCTAGCATGATTCTCTAAACTTAAACTTAAATTTGACAGCCGTATATCCTTGTCATTCTCTATACAGAATGAAAAGGAGAGACTGATGTTAAATTTAGTTTTAAGTTTAGAGAATCAGTCCAGAATTGGTACCACTGTAACTCTAGTGTTAGATAATCCATACTAATATTATAAATGTGAATACGTGTCTGTCTATCTGTTACTTCTTAAGCTTCATGCATTATATAGTTTTACTTGTTAAAATGTCTGTCCACGTTAAGCCAAATTCCCATATAAAGTGGTTATTGCCCTTTGGCACATAGTGAACCAGTAGCTACGACTTCTTCTACGGCATGGAAAAATTGGTCTCCCATACAAACTTTCACTTCCTTCATCTTCTTCAAGGGTGGTTTTTGAGATATTAGCTAATAAATGTCCTTTTCCGGCACTCAAACGACATCTATACCAAATTTCATCTAAATCCGTTCAGCCGTTTTTGCAGTAATTGAGCAACAATATACAAACATACAAACTTTCACATTTATAATATAAGTGAGTTTAGTAGGATGTTGAGAAATAATGAAAAATTAGTTACTCACGCAATCCAAGGAACTCGACCACGTAGACCAGCAGGGAGGTGTCAGCGAAGAGATTGATCATGTTCATGGTGGTCCAGAAGACGAACAGCAGCAGCAGCACCGTCACCTGCATCGCCATCCATATCACCCATGGCCTCACCAAGTATGCCTTCTCCTAAAAGCAAATAATTTGAAATTTAAAGAAAATTAAATAAAACTAGTTTTTCACGGGTCAATGCACGAAACTTTATTTATTTATTGATGTCGTATCGCAGATATGAAACATAGGCGCGAAAATAAGTCTGCAGTGTGCGAACATGCATTAGGGGGACCAAACCATTACATTAGATTTGATAAACCACTGATCCTTGCAACTGAGCAACGATTCATTCCTAGAATGATACGCGAGGCTATTGAGATTAAAAAATATACAAATTTCAATAGGGAAGAAGGTTGGTATATACCACCAGCTTGGGAACCCATTATACAAGAGATAAAATCCCAACCCCGAGCACACACTGCAAGACCATCAGATACTATTAGTTCTTTTTGTTTGGATAATTTAATATAAGAAGGAGATAGAAAGCCTCTCTTGAGTTTGTTTCGCCGGTTCTTCTCAGAAAGGTCTCCCAATTTTAGAACCGGTGGTAGTTTACAGTTTAGTCAAATAAATAAACTCAAAATTCCAAAAAAAAAAGTTCTTTTTTAACTAAATTAAGTAATAAATTCATACGTAGACAATAAAACTTTAAAAATCGAACAATGAAATAACCGAACGCTCAATAAAAGTCTTTCGAATGTAGCTCGACAAAATTAAATAAAAAAAAATTGATTCCGACGAAGCAGCCTGTAAAGGCTGCGAAACGTCAATAAATAAATAAAGTTTCGTGCATTAACCCGTGAAAAACTAGTTTTGTTTAAAGAAAATTTTATTAGATCAACTCCCACTCGGTCTAAGTTACATATGGGATTCGAACCCGGATTAACCGCTACTCGGGCGGACGCCTTGCACTAACCAATTATACTACCGAGACCTTAATGGCCATGTCAAATCGCCTATAGGATTTCTTAGGCTGCAAAGCAGTGCTATCTCATTGTATTGTAGGTACGAGTAAACCACAATGTCAACTGCTGGATATTTAAAACTTAAGATTTTTTTCAATTTTTTTTTATCTTGGTGAGTCCAGATGACAAAATATTAAATGATACTAATTTTGAGTTTTACCAACTGGATAAATATTTTTTTTTTCTGGAAATGCAGTATATAGACAGTCATATCTTTATATCTACAGGGTGTAAAAACATCTATGACAAAGACTAAAAATATGCATTCTGTACACCCAAACAAGTTATATTACAAAATATTATACGTGGGAAACATTTGTATTTTTTAGTTAAAAATATAATGTATAGCGCAGTGCGCTACTGTGGCGCTACGCAAAGAATGTGCCTGTGTGTATAATATGTGTGCGTGTGTAAGTGCGTCAATAAAAAAGTTTCTAAATAAAGATAAGTAATAATCTTGAAAAAAATTGTGACTTTGACCTTCATTAACTCCATAACAATAAATTTCCCAGGAAAAAAAAATTCTCGTCATGGTGTGGAAAATACGTAGCCTTCGAATTCGTTATTGGTTTTTTTACACCCTGTATGTGTCGCAGTAAAATATAAAAAATCGTAACATAGTTATAGTCCTAGGGATGTAATATATACCGTTACATAGTTATACGAAACTTATTCGTATACGAGGCGTAACAAATTACCCCACCCCACCTCTTGTTAAGTGTTAGTGGAGTCCAGTGACGAAGATTAATAGAAATGCTTATATGTGCCCCGCAAAGGCCAAATTCAATGAAATAATTAATTTGTAATTATTGTTGTACCTTTTGTTGGCATTAATAATTAAAATATAGTTTATTATAACCTTATTAAAAAAATGCTTATATTCATCATACAAACATTTGCCCCAACGGGATTCGAACCCAGGACCTCTGAGTAAGCGACACCTTGTCAACCGGCGTACATACCACTAACACCACTCAGATCGTCTAATCCATACAACATAGTATAACGTAGTGTGAACATGATGTATGTGCTGTAATACTTGTGCTACGTTTCCAGAAAGATCTCAGCTCAGAACTGATCTGAAAGAGCAAACAATATTTCTCACAGGGTAAATGGAAACATCAGGCCGAGCGAATGAGTTCGTACAATGGTATTTAACTGGACTCATTAAACGAATGCTCTATTGCTCAGCCATCAATGAAAATAATACGCAAGATTGTTTTAAGCATTCACTTTACCGAGTGAACAAATATTTGCTTGCTCAGAACCGATCTGAGCATTAGGTGGAAACGCAGTGTTATACAGTAATGCGTAGTCTGAAGTTCTGAATGTGCCTTTGGCACCACTTCTTGAAGTAATATGAACCATACAATCTTACCCTGATGGCGCCGACCAGCAGGACTGCACTGAGGAAAAGCGTGATGGCATGGATTATGGTGATGCAGTTCACCATGGTCAAGATCGCAAGATAGTTTTAAGGATTCAATTTACCGAGCGAACAAATGTTTGCTTGCTCAGAACCGATCTGAGCACTAGGTGGGAGCGTAGCGTTATGCAGTAATGCGTAGTCTGAAATTCTGAAAGTGCCTTTGACACCACTTCTTGAAGTAATATGAACCATACAATCTTACCCTGATGGCACCAACCAGTAGGACTGCACTCAGGAAAAGCGTGATGGCATGGATTATGGTGACGCAGATCACCAGGGTCAACATCGCTATATCGCTGAGGTCGGTCAGGTCCAACTGGATTGGCAGGCTGCTCAGGGCCGCCATGCATTGTGCTAAAGCCATTACTGAATATAGCTGAAATCATATGATTTTACTTTGATTATCTACCTTATTATTTAAATTGTAAAAAGTGACAAACAATAAGTAATGATACTGGGTCTTAATATATGTTATGGGCTAAGTGATTAATGCGGACAGTATTCCGTATGCAACAGTATAAATAATGTCCAGCCATATCGGGCCAAATGATTAATTACAATCTAAACTCACCTATTTGCCACATTGCCCGGTCATTATTAATAATGCCCATAACATATAGATACGATAATTTATTTATTTATAAAAAGTAGGCTAAGTGGTTAATCAGGCATTATTCATAAAGCTCGGGCAATATGAATAATGCCCAATACGAGAGGGCGATGTGATTACAACCAATCAATTTATCACATTACCAGGGCATTATGAATAATGCCAAGTGCTTTAAGGGCAGAGTGATGTAAAGCATGTTTAATACTTTCAAATGAATACTTAGATAGACCGAGCATTACAAGTAATGAAATCAATTATCGGGTAGATTAATAATAAAAACATGTTTTATAGTTTAGTATTTATTTTTAAGATTTAAATAATCAGACTTCGGTTTTACTTCGATCAATTTACGAAGGGCTACATTTAGAAACTATAAGTAGTCTATAGTAGTTTCAATGCAGTTTGTTTGAAAAATTCATTAAATCTGTTAAATGTTCAGAATTTACGGTATATATTTATTTTTTAGTTTCCTGTTGTCCATTTTTATACTTACGCAGTATGTATGTATTTATCAAATTATAAATATACTAGCAAACCAGTGAACCAAATGTTCACCAAAACCTGATTTCTCGAAAACCGGAAGTGCTACGTTACTCAAATCCGGTTTGTAGTCTTATCAGACTATTCTTAACTTATAACTTAAATATTCTCTTTATCTATCTCTTACGGTTTGGCCTCTGAAACAGCACCACAGAGAGACAGACGGACGGACTTGTCTAATAGATAAGAGATTCGTGTTCTTCATTAAATTTGTATACCGATACACCGTCCACCATACAGGCCCAGTCAGAATACCAACGTTGTCGTGACGCGCCCTCGCGCGTCGTTCGGCAGATTCGCTATAGGACAGAAACTTGATAAGGCAGAAGCTGGATTGGGCAGAATCGTGTTTTGGCAGAGTACAGTCAGGATGTTAATAATATTATTATGATGTAAACTCTTTGGTTTATCTTATCATTAATAATGGCCACTTATGGTTTATGGTGACATGATAAATTATATATTTTACAATGACATTGTTATAGTCAAGTCAGTATGTTTTCATTGTATTATCTGAGATATAATTGAATTTAATTTATTATGGTGGATGATGCGGGCCCACGTACAGAAAGTGAAAATTTGAAAATTATTCGCAGTAAACGAGGTAAGCCAGTGCTTCTACACGACGGTTTTCGCTATAATTTCGTAATGAAAAACAAATCTGGTACAAGTAATTGGAGATGCTACAATAAAACGGAATGTAATACATCAATCACGCTGGATTCAAAAGATCAAATTTTAAGAAAAGCAAATCATTCATGTGTTCCGAACAAAATAAAAAACGTTATTGATGAAATTATGGATGAACGTAAAAAGCAAGTATGTCTCAATTTGGAACCTATACCAAAAGTTTTCGAAGACTATATTAACAGCATAAAGCATGATGTTCAAAAGGAATATTTACCAAAATATGAAAGCGTGAAAGATATGCTGAGAAAGGCAAGATTAGACTACTTACATTGCAAGACTCTTACATTTAAAAGACGTGAAGATATAAGACTGCCGGACGTCCTCGTCAAGGATTTTTTTTTATATGATTGTGGAAATGAAGACAAAATTCTAATTGTCGGAACGCCGTTAGCAAAAAAATATTTTAAAAAAATCAGCAGGTTTTACGGCGATGGTACTTTTAGAGTTGTGCCCAAACTTTTTTATCAATTATATACGTTACATGTCGATTTAGCAGAAGATGATGATGTTAATTTTGTACCATTGTTGTACATATTATTACCAGACAAGAAAGAAGAAACCTATAAAACGAAGCGAAGACCCGGTCTACACACGACACGCTATACCAGGTACAGGTAAGTACCTGGGCGTTTTTCCCCGCCCCCACGACAACGGCTATCTAGAGCCGAGGTCCGAGTCTCAGAGACGCCCTCTAGTCGAGCCCACAGGTTCGAGTGGTCTAGTGGCTCCAGACGGAGGGGAGATGCCATCCGCCTGAAATACCTCTAGATACACTCGCCATTCACGGCTTGAAGTCCCCTTAGGATCTCGCCGTCCTCAAAACGATACACACTCAAGAAAAGCCCGAGAGCCGCAAGTCGCTGCGGGTATTTTGACGTGCACTCACGCAAGCGTGGCATACGTCAAACCACCCCGCCTCCGACTAGCAACCCGGCCAGCAACCGCTTAAGCCGATCCTGGGCTTCTCCGTTCACAGCGTCACCTGACTAGTCTCACGCACCGCAGTGCGAGCGGCTAGCCAGCTGACCAGCTCCCGTACCTCCCAGTTAAACCAACTCCCCGATCTACCCCTCACCCTCCAGTGTAACTGAGGGATCTAGATATGAGTCGCCGCTTATGTCCACCGATGGAACCTACGCATGCAACGCTGGAATGCCGTGTCCTAAACTGTAGGACACGGCATTCCTAAACTATGTGTTAAATCAGTATTTTTTTATTGACTATACAATAAAAAAAAACTAAATAATATATAAAATAATGACTATTTATATTTTTTATATTATTCACATTTGTAATGGAAAGTGAGTTCATGAATCATCTCCTATTGTAGTCTTTTTTCAATTTGACGACTCTGTATATTCCCCCATTATAAGTGTCGCCGCACACGGGCCACCGACCACAACCACAAAACGCCGCCACTGGCATATTTCTTGTAGTTTTCATACATTTTATATGGACTCGCCACACACGGTACGCCGGTGGCCGACACACGCTACAATTCGTCGTTGCTCGCTTCTTGTGGCTCGCACCAGCCACTTAATGCGCCGATACAAAACGCCGCCACCCCTCTCTCCTTTACCTTAGTCGGCCGCTGTCGCGGGCTTCAACCACTTTAGTAGCCTCTTCTAGCTTCTCGTGGCGGCGTTTGTGGCTGTGGCGTGTGGCCCGTGTGCGGCGACACTAATACAGGGCGAAAAAAACAACCCTTGCTGAGTTTCTTGTCGGTTCTTCTCAGTACAAGGTTTCCCGCCTTAGACTTGCGTACCGATAGCGTAGCTTTTTGACTTTCACAAGTGCTTGTACCAGCCTAGACTGCATAGACGATATTGAATTAGATTTGATATTACACAAGGTTTTGTTCCTTCGAAAGCTGCTCAGCACACCGTCTACAATGGTTTCAAAAATTGCGCGATCCCTTAATAGACTGCATCTACGGCGGAATAACTAGGATAATTTGATAAATCTAATTTTCGCGAAAATCCTAGTGATTTTGCGAAAACACGAGTCGCCCAAGTGAGATTAAGAAAAGAATCGCCAACTATTATAAATATTTTTGAGTTCTTGGGTTCACACTAGGCTAGGTTAAGTTAGTGTTGTGACCATGACGCGTGAGTCGAGCGAGCGTAGCGAGCGTGCAGCGACAGCGGCCGGCGAAGCCCCAGTAAAAAAATCGCCATTGTCTAATTATCAAAATCCCTAGGTTTTAGCAAAAAATCGGTCTATCATTCATCCTACGATACCATAGTTACATGATATTCTGCAGCATGAGAGTCATGGGACATTTATAATAGTCATCAAAGATTTAATTAATTATACTTACGATAACAACCAAACCGGTTAGAACGCATCCGAATTTTAGAGAGAAGCACCCACAGCTCTCTTGTCTAGGTATGTTTTCTAAGGAAAACGGAAAATCTGAAAAATAAATCATTATCCCTGTTTATACCCAATAATTTATATGCTATCATCATATCAAAATCTTATCTATAAAAATAAATTCATATTTCCCTTGGTCACTTGAAAATGACTTGACTGATTACATCCCTATTTTTTTGTTTACTAATATTCTGTGGAAGTTTGTTAGAGAAAAAATAAGGAAAAATGATAAAAAATAAAAAAAAAATTGATTTAAGCTAAGGTTATAATATACTTTGGTAGAAGCACTATTATAATATAGCACATATACTTTATATGTAACAATCTTTTTCGGAAGATTTTCGGCAGATGCAGCCGTTGGTCTCGGCTGCATCTGTGATCTCCTGTAAGGTGGAAGTTACTTCGCTAGACTGGGGCGCTTCAATTGGAGCGAATCCTTATCTCGATTCCCTAACTCATCATCATCATCATTAGCCTATTAATGTCCCCACTGCTGGGGCACAGTCCTTCCCTATGGAGGGAATAGGGAGTTTAGGCCATGACCCACCACGCGGGCCCAGTGCGGATTGGTGGGTGCTAACGACTGCATATACAGCCGGGATCAACGGCTTAACGTGCCTTCCGAAGCACGGAGGAGCTCGAGATAATAAAATTTTGGTCACCCATCCAATGACCGACCATTGCGAAAGTTGCTTAACTTCAACGATCGCAGCCGAACGCGCTTACCACTTGCGCCATCGAGCTCCTCAACTCTACTAACATACTAAAATTAAACCCAATATAAAAGAAAACGAGAGTGCTTATGACCACACGACTGCAGTGAAACTAAGCTTCATCTGTATGTATATATGCATATATATTTGTGTAAAATATATAAGTACATGTATGTACATATTCATATTTCATTTACTAGCCATAAGAGAAAGTGAGAAAGAAAATGTGCGCGCGCACTGCTTTTTCTTGCTTATATCCCCCACTCAACTCCCGTTCGCCTCGCTCGAACACACTTTCCGTAACGCGTAACGCATTCGCCAGCTTACCCCCCAAGTCAAGCGTGCGTAAAGAAATTTTACATCAATAATCAAATACTTACTGGAAGTCATGCCACCAGACATTTCTCTATTCGACGGCATTCTTAATAATTTTGAAATTACACAACACTTTGTACACAACACTTCAACACATCGGAACTTATAGAAGCGACAGTAAACTTCTTTGTTATATGTTGTATTTTTTCCGATGACGTGTTATTGGCCGTGTGTCCCAAATCAACTGATAGTATATTTTATCAGTTAGACTGGTTAATCACGCAAGATAATGCACTTATCAGGACACTATCAAAATTGGTAATAGTGGGGCTGATAATGTATTATGTAGGTATTCCCTAATGTCCGTGAATAATGCGATTATGATTTTAATACGTAAAAGAAAAGTTTTCGGTCCTTTATCTATGCAGAGTAGCCAGAAAGGGAAGTCCATAGTTTTTTTAGGTGCCTCGTGTTGAGGGGTAAATTTTTTTTAAAGTTATGAGGCTGTTTGTTCTATGCATAAAGGTGTACAGTTCATAGAGATTTAGTGGCAAAAAAAAAACAAAGAAACCTACTTTTTTAGAAACTTTTAAAACTGATTCGGGTACAATAGGCCCTTAGTTGACCCTTTTTAGAAAAAGGCTTTAAATGGTTAATAAATGTTCTATTAGACCGAGAAAAATGTATTGTATTTTTTTGAGACCTAGAAAGCTACAAATCTTTAATTTATAAATAGACTTTTCATTGACATACAAAAACGCTGTCGGCCATTTTAGTCTATAGATTATCTATGCTATCTATGCGATCTATGCTAACAAAAAATCGTAAGCACGTAGAAAAAAACCTATCTGAGTTTATAATAAAAAAAATCATGATTTCTAATAAATACCACGAAAAATATAGTAATTATCATTATTGTATTGTACGAAAATGTAAAAGTACATCCTTGAAGACTCTAGGAACGTTGTGAATTAAAGTGCCGAAAGAAATTAACCTACGCAATACCTGGTTAGAACTTGCTAAAAGGGATCCTGCAACTTTATCGACTCATAGTAAAAAATATTTTTGGGAAGATCACTTTGATGTAAGTACTCATTGAATAATATTTTAAGTCTTTTCATTTATTATCAGTTTTAATAATACAAGTTTTAAGGTTATGTATGAACGACATTTAGTTGTTTACTACCAAAGAGACGTCACAATCATGGCGGATGTGGCGAACAGCGTTTTTAGTGTTTAAAAAGTACAGACTAAAAATGATTTTTTAAAATTAAATTTATACAGCAATCTTCTGCTTTTATGAAGTGAAATCGATATATTTAGGTTCCGTAGACCAAAAGCTTTAAGAAATAAACATTTATTTAATACAATTCGACATGAGTCAACTAACCTATTTTGCTAAAATTCATTAAAAAATATCGTAACCCGGAAACTATAAAAATCGTAGAACATACATAGGGGTGATTTAGATACCTCTCAACACGAGGCACCTAAAACAAATTTTTGGGCGTCACTTTTCTGGCCACCCTGTATATGGACACTAGAAATGCCCTGCGGTTTCACCTGCGTTAATTTGTCAAAAAAAAGGTTATAGTGCGTCACACGTAAAAGCTTATTACGCGGTTTTTGTGATAGAATTTTTAAAGGGGAACAATTCTGTCATAGGTACTTACGTGTTTTTTTTCGATGACGGGGCGAAAAAATGTATTATATATCCACGACAATGACCAACGCCACGTTGGTTTGCTGTTAACAAACCCTCGCGACGCAGGTAATTGCGTGGTGCATTCGGCAATTCGGCAAGCGGCGAGCCGCACGAGCCCCGCTAGTCGGTGCGGGTATACTTTGACGTGCACTCACGCAAGCGTGGCATACGTCAAAACCACCCCGCCTCCTACCAGCAACCCGGTCCGCACCCGCTTTAGCCGATCCTGGGCTTCTCCGTTCACAGCGTCACCTGACTAGTCTCACGAACCGCAGTCCGAGCAGCTAGCCAGCCGACCAACTCCCGTACCTACCAGGTAAACCAACTCCTCGATCTACCCCTCACCCTCCAGTGTAACTGGGGGATCTAGATATGAGTCGCCGCTTATGGCCACCACTGGATCCTACGCATGCAACGCTGAAATACCGTGCCCTAAACTGAAGGACACCTGGGGTACGCCTGGGGTGTTACTTTTACCTCCGTAATACGCCTGGGGTGTTACTTTTACCTAGGGTGTTACTTTTACCTCCGTAATACGCCTGGGGTGTTACTTTTACCTGGGGCGTTACTTTTACCTCCTTAATACGCCTGGGGTGTTACTTTTACCTAGGGTGTTACTTTTACCTGGGGCGTTACTTTTACCTCCGTAATACGCCTGGGGTGTTACTTTTACCTGGGGCGTTACTTTTACCTCCGTAATACGCCTGGGGTGTTACTTTTACTTGGGGTGTTACTTTTACCTCCGTAATACGCCTGGGGTGTTACTTTTACCTGGGGCGTTACTTTTACCTCCGTAATACGCCTGGGGTGTTACTTTTACCTGGGGTGTTACTTTTACCTGGGGTATTACTTTTACCTCCGTAAACGCAGCGCACGCAATGGAAGCTCACAAATGGAATATTTTTTCCTGATATGGCAACAGTTTTCATTGGTTCTCCGTTCCTTTTGGTTGTAGCGTTATTTATAAAGCCTTTCTCGATAAATGCACTATCGATATTTTTTCAAATCGGACCAGTAATTCCAACTAAGCAAACAAACACATTCTTCAGCTTTATAACATATGTATAGGTTGAGTAAAAGAACTACCCGCTAATCCGCACTGGGCCCGTGGTGGGTCTTGGCCCAATCTCCCTATTCCATCCATAGGGAAGGCCTGTGCCCCAGCAGTGAGGATATTAATAGGCCTGATGATGATGATAAGTAAAAGAAAGTGAGAGACTTTTGGCATTTAAGGTATTTATTGTTGGAAAAAGAATTAATAAAAATAAATTCTTTAAACAGTATAATAAACTAAACATAACACGCACAGTATCTACACTCTTCTAGAGAAGAACTAGATGAACACACAACAGAGAAATATTACTCATAGGAGTACGTGAAAGGCTGGCGGAAGAACAGAAATGATCGATTTTCGCCGATTAGGCAACCAATAGTCATTTATTAGTGTTAGTTACACAACAGAGCCAATTAAAGTAAGAAGAGAATTTTTTACTGTGACTTTAACGGATCTCGCTTGGACAGATTGGCATTGTCAAATTATGACCTCAGTTTGAGTATTGTCAAATGCTGCAACCCGTTTTTCACCAAACCCGTACTTTTACTGAAAGCTTAAAATAAGTTGATGCAACTCACGAATAATGACTAAAAGGACAATGGGCAAAACGCACGCAGCTCCGCCAACAATTTAATTAGTATGAATCGATAGATCTATGAAAAACTAGCCTTTTTTATTACCACACCGAAAATAAATATCCTGGGAGTCAAAAGATATGACACCGTAAAAAAGATCCTGGTAGTCAATAGATATGACACATGGGCATATTTAAGTAGCTGAATAAATTCATTTATAATACCTTCATTTTATATTATTAGTACCTAATAATAATAATATGCCATATCGTACTATACAACCAGATATACGACAAAGCCTGCCGACACTCCTGCGTTTGCTCTTACTGAGACATTTCAAAATAGATTACGGATGCTGAAGGACTTGCAGTTGCAAATAGTCGACTCATCTTACTTCGTTGTGATTGTGCGCTCCCTGCTATTTGATTGATTTTTATCTAACACGCTTTGGATATTGGAACACGATTATCGGTTTTGTCAATTAGTATGGATGAACTGGAATCATGTGTTCTCCGAAGCGTGGACAAGTTTATGTAATCTGTCGTCGCTCCGTTTTACATAGAAGACAATTTACTATAACGAACAAAAAGATTGAAAAAACCCCAACCTATGCGGGGATTTTCGGATTTACTCTAGCGCGGCAGAATAACACAGGGGGGCACCCTTGCACCTTGTGAAGTACTCCCATAATACCTGAGCCCCCTATGTAGGGTCGAACTAAATAACTAAATTAATTCCCTTGTTTCATTAATGTTCGCTCGTTATAGTACTTGTACCTATTTAACTTAAAATAACTAAAGACCCCCGGGATGGAATTTGATGCGCTTTGGCACAGATGATCATGAGTATAATACAAACAAATGTAGTTTAGGCCGTGGCGGACGTGGGTGCAGCGTCCATACATTTTTGCCCAATGTCCTTTAAATCGGTATCATTGCCCTAAGATCTATCTATCTTCATCTTACATGATTTCTTATTCATGCTGTTGAAACTTGTTGATGATAAATAAATAAATAAAAAATGTAAGGTTTGTTTTCTGACTGTTATTGTTCAAGTTGATTTAAATGATAAGAATTTTTAATCAGGAAAAATATCGATAACCATAACATTCGGTAAGTAAAGGATATCAATATCAGTGAAAATAAATGGTGCAATACCCTTAAAACATTTAATAACAAAAAATAAAATTAATAAAGTTCTTAAAATACTTCATAACTTTAAAACAATTTTCATAAATAAAGTCGTATTGTCATGATGTTAATTGCCTCTTATTAGTTTAAGCGCATAAATTACTGTAATCATGTTTTCTTCACTACTTTATGTACACAGGTGGTGAGCACATTCGGCTGCGATCGTTGAACTTAAGCAACTTTCGCAGTGGTCGGTCATTGGATGGGTGACCAAAAATCTTCTATCTCGAGTTCCTCCGTGCTTCGGAAGGCACGTTAAGCCGTTGATCCCGGCTGCACCTGCAGTCGTTAGCACCCACCAATCCGCACTGGGCCCGCGTGGTGGGTCATGGCCCAATCTCCCTATTCCATCCATAGGGAAGGCCTGTGCCCCAGTAGTGGGGACATTAATAGGCTGATGATGATGATGATGATTATGTACAAATTGAGTCATAATGAAATAAATATGAGTATAACATCTTTAATTATTACTAGCTGACCCAGCGAACTTCGTACCGCCCTAAAAAAAATAGGGGTTGTCCAGCGGACAAAATTGTGAATCTAAACCATTCTCAGATCCCCTTGAACAGACACAAAAAATTTCATCAAAATCGGTCCAGTCGTTTAAGAGAAGTTCAGTGACATACACACTCACAGAAGAATTATATATATAAAGATTATTCAGATCTTATCAATAAGCATTGATGGGTCAGTGGAAGAAAGCATTCCTGCTACTCTGATGTCCAGCTAAAACGTATAGATTTCTCCAATATATATATTTTTAGTCGTTCTTGTGAAGAGAAAATGCTACTGTTGCCATATGAACACAAGACATACCCACAAGCAATTAGCAGAGAGTGTAGTTCAAAGGCCAACAGTATCTTTCTAGATTTTTTTTCCGCTGATGTGGTTGATGAAAAAACATTCTGCTAAATTCTAATTATCTGATGAAATTTTTACTAGAAAAAAATCCACACGGACCAGGCAGCAGACGGGCCTCGAACCCGTACCCTTCGCTATGCACTGACCATTATGCTACCGCGGCCCTGATGGCCATGTCGAATTTACTCTGGCCCTTCTTAAGCTGCAAGGCAGCGCCATCTCTTCGCATTGTAGATAACCCACAATGCCAAATGGATACCTTTACAAGCTTTAAACATTTGAAAGAAGAATTAGTAATTATAGTTATTCTTTAAATTTGAACATCTAGCAGTTAAATGCTTAATAAAAAATATATTTCTAATTTTCTTTTATTTACCCAAAAAATATAAATATCACACATTCTATTACAGAAAAAAAAACACTTATAATTCATAAAAAACTACTAACTTTTCTTAAATTTCAATCATTATATGAAGGATCGTAAAATTAACGACCCCAAAAAACGATAATCTGTAAATTAAAAAACACGTCTTGTTTGTACTGACGACATATAAAGTGGATGTATTCAGGGGTATATTTACCACAGAGCCTAGAGGGCCTTGGCCTGGGGCGTAAGGCTGCGAGGAACCGCTGGTCAAAAGCCAAATAAAGTCATTCGTTGCTGACCAATATTTTGATTTGAGTTACTAATCTGGCGTCCCAGGTCACTTACGATTTGCACCCCGATACGAAATACACCCCTGGATGTATTTACAAGGTTCAAAGTTATCAATAAATCATTATCAATAAGGATGTTCAATGCTGTGCCCATGTGATTCAATTATAGTTTCTCCGTAGCTTGAAGAGCTTTGTATAGCAGGAGCGGAAGCTAACTGAGATGTCTCTACTGAGCCTGCTCCAATCACTGCTGAAGATGCAACTGATCCAACAACCGGCCCGGCTACAACCGGCCCGGTCACAATTGGTCCTGTAACCGGAACTGGATGTGGTACCGCTACCGGAAATGGTGCCGGGACAGCCACGTGGTACGGCTGCGGAACCGGTATACCGACCCCTTGCGTTATAGTTACCGGTACCGGATGAGCGACGGGGTACGGGAAGGGTCTGTCCACAGGTACGGCTATAGGACGCGGTATAATATGTGCCACTGGATGTGGTACCGGTACTAAAACCGGTCGAGGTCTGTCTACAGGTACGCCCACCGGTACAGTGTACGGGACCGGTCGCGGTACACTAAACGGTATCGGTTGTGGTACCGGTACGGGGATCCCTCTATGGAACTCCGAGAAAGTGTGGTGTACTGGAATGTGTCCTGATGATGCTATCTCCCTTTTGCTTGGAACTGTGGAAGATTGCGAACGGTGTAAGCACGCAAGAAGGATTATCTGTAACAAAAATAGCAACTTAATGATTATGTTTTTTTTTAAGCATTTAACTGCTAGATGTTTAAATCTAAAGAAACGTTTACTAGAAAAAAAAATCCACGCGGGCCAGGCAGCGGACGGGACTCGAACCCGCATCCTTCGCAATCCGGCGAATGCACTGACCATTATGCTACCACGGCCCTATTCGCCGCGTCGAAATTTTCCTAGCCTTAAGCTGCAAGGCATCGCCATCTATTCGCATTGTAGGTAACCCACAATGTCAAATGAATGCTTTTTCAAGTATTAAACATTTGAAAGTAGAAATAGCAATTATAGTTATGTTTTTATATATTTTTAAGCATTTAACTGCTGGATGAACTTAATGATTTTTCAACACAGACCTAAATTAAAGTAGACGCCGTCGTGAATTACATACTTTAAATTGTATGAAAACCGATCATGTCAGATTTCGAATATTCACGAAAGCAAATAAGTAGTGAAAAATCATTGGCCCCGCTCAGCTATATGACATAGTTAGATATTTTTTAAACATTATGATTGATGATGATTGATTGTGGGTTACCTACAATGCGAAGAGATGGCGCTGCCTTGCAGCTTAAGGCTAGGAAAATTTCGACGCGGCTAATAGGGCCGTGGTAGCATAATGGTCAGTGCATTCGCCCGGATAGCGAAGGATGCGGGTTCGAGTCCCGTCCGCTGCCTGGTCCGCGTGGATTTTTTTCTAGTAAACTTTTCTTTATATTATTATAATATTTATTATTATTATTATACTTCGCGTGCCAAAAGGGTGACTAATGGTCTTCCTTTTACTCTTAATTTCTTCGCGTCACCGTTCCCGATACCGGATATCAATCATAATCTAAAGAAAAGTTTACTAGAAAAAAATTATAACAACCTATGGTAGAAAAGGAATAATACTAGAGAAATATAGAAGGGTGCAAAAGTAGATACATACAATAAGATACATAAATATAAGAGAAGCAAAGAAATAAGATATTAAATGAATTTAAGATAAGTATACACACTTGCGTTAACTGTTTCGTTCTATATCCGCGTTTTTTCAAATAAAATCAAAAATTATATTGTTTTAAACTTTCATGGTCACTAACATTATAGCTTTCAACGGGATCGTTACCATGTACCTTGTTTTTTATGAGTCTCCGATATTTCGGCACTGTTGCAAGCGCCACGATCACGGAGTCATAAAAAACAAGGTACAAGGTAACAATCCCGTTAACTGTAATAATCAAACATTTATTCGTATTCATTTAATATGGGAGTGGAAGAGGTACGAATATGCGGGGGTACTAATATACTAGGTACAACTATTTTATTCACACAATGTCACATTGGTTAGCTAATAAGTCACTTCTGCAAAGGCCGATCTTTGGGAAACTAACTCCGACCTCTGTAGCGCGGTAACTTATCTGAAAATAAATCATGTAAGTTTTCTAATACATTTTAAAAATGTCCGGCAGGCTGTAATGACTTATACTCGAACCAGTAGAACAGTTTTCTTATTCATTTATTGAAGTTATACTTCTTCAGGCGCGTTATGAAAAAATGATGAGAGTGAAATTTTAAGATGCGCGCGCATCACTGTAACACAAAAATTAACAGCATGAATTTGGTCGCTTTAGCGACCAATATCATGCTGTTACTTTTGTGTTTACCGCACATTAAGAAAATCTACCAACAAAATAGAAATAGAATCTCTATTTAGTAGGTGCTAACGACTGCATTGTGAAGGCCTATCAAAAGTATTTATTAATCTGGAACAACGGAACCAAAGCGCGATTCAGGAGACTACAGCGCCATCTCTTGACCATTGGTGTAGTAGAACCAAAAACCACATCTTTATTTTTTGTAATAAAGTAACAGTTATAGGTATTAATATTTATAATATCAAAAGTATTTATTAATCTGGAACAACGGAACCAAAGCGCGATTCAGGAGACTACAGCGCCATCTCTTGACCATTGGTGTAGTAGAACCAAAAACCACATCTTTATTTTTTGTAATAAAGTAACAGTTATAGGTATTCATAATTATAATATTTATCCACATGTTTCTAGTTTGTATATTCGGAATACGTGTTTGAGTTTCATACAAGTGCAAATCACATATGTTCTAATAAATTATATTCAGTAGCGATTTTAATTGAATATTTTGATTATTTATTTATTTTTTCAAATTAAAACTGAACTTTATTGACTGTGTCCTTTTCCAGACTTTTTATTAATTTATTGTAATTAATTATTTGCATGCAATTAAAAACTAATTTTAAACACAATGTTTTTGTATACAAATATTTCCGAGTCTTTTGGTATTAAATAAAGAGTCACCATGTCCCATTTAAAAATTATAATAACTTCTGTTATATTTGTTTCTTAGGTTTTAACGCACATCACTCATTAAATAAAACTAGTTTTAACGGGTTAATGCACGAACTTTATTTATTTATTGACGTTTCGCAGCCTTTTCAGGTCATTCAGACCTGTCAAAATATATATTCTGCGAAACGTCAATAAATAAATAAAGTTCGTGCATTAACCCGTTAAAACTAGTTTTATTTTGTTATATTTCTTTATTTTTTAAAAAAGTAACTGCTAGATTTTTAAATCTAAAAAAATGTTACTAGAAAAAAATCCACGCGGACCAGGCAGCGGACGGGATTCGAACTCACACCCTGCGCTGGCGAATGCAGAGACCATAATGGTCAGTGCATTGACACTGATAGCGAAATGTACGGATTCGAGTCCCGTCTGCTGCCTGGTCCACGTTGAATTTTTTCTAGTACCATTTTCATCATAACTTAATATCACTAAATCACTTACGTAAGATATTCTATATATTTTCTTCGTCATTGTGTTCAGTCAGTGCTTAGCACGGGAGACGTTAGTGGAAAGTACGCAGGCGCCAGTAAGTAATGGTATTTATAACGACACACATGCTTCATATGGAGACACGGAATCGGTGCGGAACCGGTGCGGAACCGGCGGCCGACCGGTGTATGTTTACACCCTGCGTGGAAGAAAGCTGATCGTATATGTATAGGGCTGTTATAAACCATCTTTGAGAATTTCTTTGTTTATTTGTTTCTTAGGTTTTCACGCACATCACTCATTAAATAAAACTAGCTTTTACGGGTTAATGCACGAAACTTTATTTATTTATTGACGTTTCGTAGCCTTTATAGGCTACGTCATCAGAATCAAACTTTTATTTAATTTGTCGAGCTACCTTCGAAAGCATTTATTGAGCGTTCGGTTATTTCATTGTTCGATTTTTAAAGTTAAGACATAGACATAGACAACAAAACTTTAAAAATCGAACAATGAAATAACCGAACGCTCAATAAAAGTCTTTCGAAGGTAGTTGGTGAAGGTAGCCCGCGCACGTGTTCCCACCTTCCTACTATTCCTTTAAGAGATGCGTGAAGAAGCATTTTTGCAGGCCGGCAAGGTGAGAATGGTTGGTGTGATAGTTTATAACTGCTGTACCAGCTATCTTCGCATTTGGACTTTATCACCACTTAACATCATGAGGGGTAGAGTCATTTACCTACCTAGCTATATAAAAAAAATTTAACCAAGCAACTTAAGCCCATCAATGCCTATTTGCCAAGGCTTATACATTACATTTCTCAAATAATGCGAGGATTTTAAAACTAAGTAGTATCTAGGCAGAACTTTTACACATTGTCTTCACTTTTCAAAGTGATAAATGAACAACAATAATTTTATGACAATTATTATGAATTTACTATGTAATTTATTTGGCCGCTAAACCACGACATGTGAATGTTAATACAAGTTACGCCGGCTGCTGCTCGCTTGTACTTGGCCAGAACAGCAATTAATCTCGAAGAAGATTGTATATTTGAGAAAAAGAGTTTTAGTTATTATTTATCACATTAAGTTTTCTTATTAATTCGCCATATTTATATGTAATCCAATAAAATTATCTGTCTAAGAAATTAAAACAATCAATGTTAATGTGGATGCAGAAAAGATAATACAGCTGTTAAAGTTTTTTAACACATAGTTTTTTTGCTGAAAACCAGTTTTGTTGGATTTATAAGATAAAGTGAGGCTAGAATGTTATTTGCACATGCACATTATACGTTACCGAAAATAATAAGAGAATGAGTATCTAATACCATTTTTTTTTTATTGAAACTTCTTTCTGACGAGGTGTGAATGGTATAATTTTATGAAAAAGATGAAACAGAAATGCGTCAAGAGCGCCACACGACTATATATATGTATATATGTTTCCCGATTTTCCGATTGCCGACGATCATGAAAGTTGGAGGGTAACTCAACGAAGGCTGAAGCGCTACGAGCGTCACACGCGACAGTACATATATATGAGTGATGCGTGCGCTGCTCCACAGCTTCCCAGCCTGGCACCCCGTTTTAAGCTAGATCAATGATATTCTAAGATAAGGTATTATCCCATTATCCGCCCCTCGGGAGGAGCTCGATGGCGCAAGTGGTTAACGCGTTCGGCTGCGATCGTTGAAGCTAAGCAACTTTCGCAGCGGTCGGTCATTGGATGGGTGACCAAAAATTTACTATCTCGAGTTCCTCCGTGCTTCGGAAGGCACGTTAAGCCGTTGGTCCCGGCTACATCTGCAGTCATTAGCACCCTCCAATCCGCACTGGGCCCGCGTGGTGGGTTATGGCCCAATCTTCCTATTCCATCCATGGGGAAGGCCTGTGCCCCATCAGTGGGGACATTAATAGGCTGATGATGATGATGATGATAATCCCCCCCTCACCTGGCTACAACCCTGCAATAACTTATTCCATTACGTAATAACAGCTCTATACAAATACTTTCTTCGATACTTCGCACAAACAAAATAAGCTTGAGTGTGGGCAGTTAATGCTATAATGTTGTTGTGTTAAACTAGATCTGGTCTAGACCTACACGTAACCTAGTCGATCGGCAGCTGTTGCATAACATGTGGCTTTATTGAATCACTTTGTACTTACACGGATTATTTGAAGTACCTTTATACAACTAAACCCATACAGGAAGTATTGTGAAACTATGATATGTGAATCCATAATTGATTCGAGATGTTTGACATCTGTTGTATTCAGGCGCAGCCCCAGGGGACCTATTTTTTTCTTGTGTCTGGGAAATGCATTACGCATCCTTTAACCACTGGGGAAGAGAGAAGAAGGTATGTGGGACTCCTCACTGTCCCCTTCAGCCAGCCCTGGGGCTTGCTGATGTGAACAGGGCCCTACCTACGCCCTGAACAGTGCCACTAAAACCCAGACAATACTCCTGCACCGTCACCCGACACGCACTTTGAGGACCGCGGTCCCTCTAGTGCCTGGGTTCCGAACCTGGGGGTAATTACCCCTCCGGGGGTAAATCAGCCATACTTCGGGGGTAACAAAGAACCTAATTATTTGGTCAAATCTAAATAATAAGAAAATACTATATAATAATACTACTAAATAGAGCATGCGCTTCTTCTTGCTAGCGAGCCCGCGGGGTGCTGAGTGTGGGAAGCGGAGCGAGATTTTCTCCTGATGATGACATTGTTAGAGACGAAGATGTAGCGGCCAAATTGGAATTTCTTGAACTGATGATAACACTTCAAAGTCGGGGTAAAATCTGTTTTCCTTATAGGTTACAGGGGTAGCAGTATTGGAAAGGTTAGGAAACACTGCTCTAGTGCGTGCCGAGAGGGCGGGTGTAAGAGGGGACCTAAATCACACACGTCATATTAAAAAAATCTTCGAAAATTATAGCTATGAACGGGATTGTTACCATGTAAATATCATAGACTCATAAAAAATGGGTGCGTGTACTTATGTAGGCGTGTGAAAAGTTATCCTTCTTTGGCATCGTTTAAAATTGGTTTTTAATTGCATGCAAATAATTAATTATAATAAATTAATAAAAAGTCTGGAAAAGGACACAGTCAATAAAGTTCAGTTTTAATTTGAAAAGATAAATAAATAATCAAAATATTCAATTAAAATCGCTACTGAATATAATTTACTAGAACTTAAGTGATTTGCACTTGTATGAAACTCAAACACGTATTCCGAATATACAAACTAGAAACATGTGGATAAATATTATAAATATGAATACCTATAACTGTTACTTTATTACAAAAAATAAAGATGTGGTTTTTGGTTCTACTACACCAATGGTCAAGAGATGGCGCTGTAGTCTCCTGAATCGCGCTTTGGTTCCGTTGTTCCAGATTAATAAATACTTTTGATAGGCCTTCACAATGCAGTCGTTAGCACCCACTAAATAGAGATTAGACTTCTATTTTATTGGATTAGTTATTCTTAATGTGCGGTTGTTAGATTTTCTTAATGTGCGGTAAACACAAAAGATCGCTTTAGCGACCAACTTCATGCTGTTAAAATTTTGTGTTACAGTGATGCGCGCGCATCTTAAAATTTCACTCTCATCATTTTTTCATAACGCGCCTAAAGAAGTATAACTTCAAAAACAAGGTACATGGTAACACTCCTGTTAATAGCTATAATATTTTATTAGTTAGTAAAGGAGACTTGCCGCGATAAGTATGGAATTAAATATCCGTCAATCCCCCCACATTCACAAGTGCTTGTAACAGCCTAGACTGAATTTAAACGATATTGAATTTTAAATTTTAGGTTGTCACGCACATCACTCATTAAATAAAAGTTTTAACGGGTTAGATGCGAAACGTAAATAAATAAATAAAATCAGTGCATCGAACCCGTGATATAATCTAATATATAAAATTCTCGTGTCGCGGTGTTTGTGGTTAAACTCCTCCGAAACGGCTTTCCCGATTCTCATGAAATTTTGTGTGCATATTGGGTAGGTCTGAGAATCGGACAACATCTATTTTTCATCCCGGGTAATCCACCCCTAATTTTTTTTTCAATTTTAGATATTTTTTATTTTCATTTTTTTATGATACATCATATAAATATTCATACAACCCTAATTTTTACCTTTCTACCACCAACCCCTATTTTTTTAGGGCGGTACGAAGTTCGCTGGGTCAGCTAGTGTATATATATCTTTATATATATAATCTTTATATATATAATTCTTCTGTGAGTGTGTATGTCACTGAACTTCTCTTAAACGACTGGACCGATTTTGATGAAATTTTTTGTGTGTGTTCAAGGGGATCTGAGAATGGTAATTTTCATCAAAATGGTCCAGAATGTTTTAGCTTATTAAAAAAAAATTGAAATTTTCAAATTAAAGACGTGTAGACAGGACAACGTCTGTCGGGTCCGCTAGTATATTATATACATATTATAATGCATACGCATTATGACTGAACGTTATGCGCTCCTGGCTGATAAGCCTGAGTGAGATGTGTATGCAGATGGATGGAATAAAATAATGTATGACTGCCTATTGTTATGCGAGAAAAATGAGTGTGAATCCTCATGTTTGTAATTCTTTGTTTTCTTTTTTTTTTACTGATTGCTTTAAATGGTATTTTGCCGTAGTAATTAGAATAAATAAATAAATAAATGTATGTTCTGTCCCCGTAGCATGAGCATCACAATTTACATTATTTCACATTTTTTATCGCGTGTAACTGTCAAACTCCATAATAATTTGACAATTGAGCATGATAAAAATGTATATATCATTTCGAAGTATTCATGCTACGGAGACTGGATGGGGAAAAATATCATATGTATACGTACAATATCTAATAATAACAATTGTTTCTCGTAGACTTAAATATCAAGTTGTCCTATTGAGACCTAGTTTATTCAACAATACACTGGCTATTATGGTATATCGGGTTTTGTAACTATCACAATGTGTAAAGGTGTCGTTAAATCTTAGCCACTGCCGGCTTTTGCTAAGTTAAAGTAGGTGACTTGTCAGTAGGAACTGGGAAACAACCACAAATTAATCGGTTACTCCACAAATACTCAACTCGATTAAATAAACAGAGTGGCTGTACGTTTGTTTGTAAGCTATAGAACCAAACGTTTCAAGTTCGAACTTCACAT